TCTTCCATCCGACCTTCAGCATGGTCTACGTCGAGGGCGCGTCAAAGTTCATCCGGCAGTACAAGAAGCTCATGCTCCGGCGCATCGCGTGGACGGAAGCTGCGCGCGAACGCGGCGCGGAGGACGTCGAGATCGAGGGCGCGGAAGATGGCGAGGGCGGCAGCGGGAAGGGCAAGGGGAAGGCTGCCGTGCCTGGGGAGCACGGACAGGCGTCGCTCGAGGACAACCACTGCTGGCTGATTTGGGAGGGCCAGCTGCGGGATCGGGCCTTCAACAACTTCAAACCGAAGAGTTGCCCGACGGACTCGGCGGCGAAGGAGATGGGCGGGTTGCAACGGCGGGAAGGACGGGCCTGCTCATGTACGCGGGCGAGTTCTCAGTGTAGATACGTAGCGGACATGGAATATATTTCGTTGGCACGCACGATCTTGGCGAGTGTGTGTGGCTGTGCGGCTGTGTGGGTGGGTGGGCGGCTCGGGTGTGTGGGCGGCGGGTCGGCGGGGCTGTGTGGGTGGACATGGCGGGGACGGGGGGCGCACGTGGATGGGGGTGCAGACGGCCGCGACGAGATTGAGGGACTCTGGCCGTGGAGTGGGTGTGTATGTGGCTGGGGTGTGTATAGGACGGCGGGGCGGGGAGCACTTCATCAAAGGTCAGAAAAGCGGACTGTAGACGTCCGAATCCACTCGCATTCCATCCTATCATACTAGTACGGTACAGGGTGCAAGCATCGCGCCGGCGCGACAAATCCTACGAGCAGGAGGAGGGCCACCAGTCTCGGGGAGCCCCTGCACTCGAGCACCTCCACAGCGATCTAGGGGCGCCGTATTCCCGCGCAGCAACGGGCGCTGTATCATGCTGTAGCACAAAATCATGTACGCGCCAGAGACGCGCCGCGCGGCGCGTCGTCGCAGAGTCTCGCGGAAATCGCAGGGAGGCCGAGGACAGGCCGGGCCGCCGCGGGAACAGAGTCCAGCCGGCCTCTCTCCTCGGGCTGCGAGCGCGCTTCCTGGCCCGCCGAAACCGCGCATGTGTGTCTTCAGGCGTCGTATCACTTCGTACAGTGCAACCGCACGCAGCTGCGCCGCCGCGTCGTCGCGGAATCGAGAGTGGGAGTGACAGCACCTCGGAAGCGGCTGTGTGAGCCAAGTCCGGCGCATTGTCGAGGTCGTGGCGCTCTGATACCTCGCGCGTGCGTAGCCCACACTCGTTTCGTGCTGTCGGAGGTGACTGCGTCATCGCGTCGTCGCGATATCGAGATCGAGCAAAGGACGGCACCCAGAACTGGCTGCGGGAGCCATGTCCGGCCTGGCGCCACTCGCAGAGGTCCCGTGGCGTAGAAGGGAAGCCGACACTTGCGTTGTATGTGTGAGAGCGTAGAAACGCGGCTGCGTCGTTGCGGAGTCGCTCAATCAAGATCGGGAGAGGCAGGGACTCCAAGCGTCCAGAGCTGAGCGCCTCGGAGATGCCTTGGGACAGAGCTGCGCGAGTCGCGCGTCCAGCGTCATAGAGTATCCGGGATGCCGCCGCTGCACTGCGTCGTCGTGAATCGAGAAGGGATGCCCGGCCGGGGCGGGCTGTTGGAGCCAGCTCCGGCGCGGGGGTCACCCCGCGCCTAGCTTGCTTGAAACGGGTGCCGAGAGTCGCATCGTATGCGTGAGGACGTCTAAACGTCGCTACGTCCTCCAGCCGCTGCCAAATCGCGAGGGAGGGCATCGAAAGCCCTGGAACTGGCTGCGGGAGCCGAGTTCAGCACCCAGAGGCTCGTAGAGGCCGTGAGACGTCCAGATCACGTAGATCGAGTACATAGGGAGCTTTCGGACGCGAGAGAACGCGCCTGCGCCATCGCGTCGTCGCGAACCGAAAAAAGGACAGTCGAGGGCCCCGGGGAGCCAAGCCCGGCCAGGTGGACTTTGAGTGCTCCCGGGTGCACCCAGATGCTCATCACGCGTACCCTGTATCGTGGGCAAACTTATTCAGTACAATATCGTGTGCGCGGCACAGCTGGACGTACAGCAGATCCTGCCGCGCCGCGCCGCGGCGGTCGCGGGAGACGAGACTTGAAGGAGCCCAATCGCTTAGACGCCCATGCGCGCCCACAACGCGCCAGGTACGACGGCGCCTCTTGCCTCCACACTGCCACCATCGGCTCCCCCCCTCACGACACCTCGCCCTTGACGGTGTGTGGATGAGGTAATCGGGCCGTGCCACAACGCATCTCGACTCGGGTGCTGACCTGTCACGCCCTTAGGCTCAAGCTGCCAAGTCGGGCCGCGGCTGCTACAGGATGTGCAAGTATCTGTTGTGAGCCTACAGCGTGCAAGCTTACCTCGATATGACCTTCCCCTCGTCCTCGCGGAGTCGCGCGCCGTGCGCCATGTGGCGGAGTACCGCCGCCACCCATGCACGAAGCCCGTCGACAGCCGCAAAACTACCATGAGCATTTCGGACACTCCACTCAGGCTGGGATGGCAGCGCCGTGTCGAATCGTGTCAGCGCCGTCTAGGGATGCCAGGACAGAGTCCAGGTGAGCGCCCCACGATCTTGCAAGACATCTGGGCATGTTCTGACCTCGACTGCGCGCCGCACACGTGCTCCTGGGCTTTGGACGACGCCTTCGGCCAGAGATATCGAGCGTACCTAGCGGCTTGCGGGGGCCCGAGGGCGTGGTACAAGGGCAGTCGCGGCGAGGCTAGCGGGTCGGTTGCCGTCGGAGAGCTCTAGGACACAGAAGGAGACGTCGAGGGAGAGCGACCCGGGAAGGTGGGTGCGAGAGGGAAATGGTATGGGATCCCATTTACGCTGCGTCGTCCACGCTCACGCTCTTCGGTGTCTTCTGCTGCACTGCCACTGTCCTCTCTAGTGTGCTGGACTTGCAGTGTGCGATCGGCCGTCATCTCGGACACCCTGCTCGAGTCTTCTGGGCTCTCTTGTTGCCGCCCTCTGGCACTCTAAGGCTCTGGGGAATCTGGTTAGGAATCCAGAAAACTGTTGTGCCGCTATGAGACATACCTGCCGACTCATACCTCTCTTGACACGATGCCGTACACCTCTTCGGTGCTGAACACGGCCCTCCTCAACGTCTCTCCAGCCCAGACGGCCGCCGCGGGAACCTGCCCTGCTGTCCTTCACGTCAAGCTCCTCCGTTTGGGGCTACGCTGTTTGCGATATCTGGGGACTCACATCTGCCACACAAGCGGCGTCAGTAGGTAGTCTTGTTGCGGCGTCCATTGAGCTCACCTGCCAACATCGACACGGTAGCTCCCATGCCATGCCTACTCCCTGGCCACGTCAAACACGGCTTCCGCAACCTTGTTACGGCACATGCACGCTGCCCGTCAAAATTGCACAAGGGCTCGGCGTGGGTGGGCATGCACAGGGCCGACAACCCGGGTCCTTCACACGCCCCCGACCCGCCCAAGTCTTTGCTGCGCTGCGTGTCTAGGGCTGTCTTGAACACGTCGTCTGCGCTTCGCAACTTCTCTCGCTGCAATCACGGCTTCTGGCACTGGGGTTGGCCTCAATGATCAGCTGGATCGTTCGCCTCGGACCTGTATCACTGCACTCACCAGGAGACGACCGAGCTGGGTGTGGAGGGTGTGATCGTGTGCAGCCTCACGTCCACATGCGGTTGCACCAGCCTGCAAGACGGCGACATGGAGAGCGCGACGAGGAGCGTGGGCGGAGGAGGAGGAAAGTAGGGTTGAGGGCTGAGGGACGAGCAGTGTGAGCGGGAAGATGGCTGGGGGTTGCCAAGAGCGGAAGGGTAGGCGAGAGTGGTTACGGAGAAGGCGACGGTACTCGGAATGTATTGCAATGCCAAATTTGTCCATCATTCCGTGTACATAGCATGCACTGCCAATGTCACCGATCAGGGCTCATGTAGAGGGACAATAGGCCTCAGGAGTTTCAGGCCTCCGCTGTGCGCCTCGCTTAACTGATGACTACTGCTGCAACACCGCTTACAATTTCATGCTTACGACCGGATCTTGCCTGTCCGCCTGCTTCGCAGGCGTGTAGACAAGATCGGCCGTGGAATATGGCAAAGCCGCACAGATTTCCTGCTCGACCCGGCCCTTTTCCCCGCCCAATCTTGTCTAGAACTTTCCAAATTTATCTACCGTCTCCTGGAGATCCATATCCCTGCAACACTGGCACTCAATATTTCACCTCCATGCCGGACCCCATTGCCGCAGCCACGATTTGCGCAGCGACGACGAATCAATATGTACTACATGCCCCAAACATATACTATTCCAACACCCAATTTCCCCGAACTTCTCTGGCAAACTCCGTACACAGGCGAGCCTGCGCGGCCTGAGCCCGGCTTGCACTAGCAGTGGAGATATTGAGTCTAAATGATGCCGCCGTCTAAGTGTCGCGCGGAACGAAGCTCGGGTCGAGAACGGAGCACAAGTCGATCTATCTACATCTGTGCCCGATATGGCATGTAGTGCGCTTCGACGCCCGCCGGGCGTGGGGACTTGGCCCGGGCGGCCGCCGCGCAGCTGTCAGTCCTGGACGTCCACAACGATGGGCGCGCCCTCCCCCACGACACTCTCCACCGGATTCTCAACGTGGAATTACGATAGCTGTTACATTTTGACCCAATACGAAACCTTTGCCAGTGTCTGAAACCGCCCGACTAGACTGACGCTGTTCACGCAGCCCGGCCCACCATTCCATCACCGTCGACAAGAATCCCGTCCAGCTCGATTAACAGAGCCTACTGGTGTGCAAGAAGTCCAAAAGTCAGCTGTCCTCACACCCGGCTCTTTGCCGCCGCGACCGTCTTGAGGCTCAGAGCCCGGACCTGTAACACCAGTTGACTTCCACCTCGCAAACCCCATGTGATCTTCATACAGGACGCATGTGGGCATTCTGCTGTACGCCCCGTACGCCCTGAGACGAATCACAGCGCTGCCTGGTACCCCTACACTGGTGTGGTCGGCCCACAATTGATCAAGACGAGGCTGAAGAGGCGAAATCATGCACTGCCACCAGCGATACCTGCGCACATGCGCTTTTAGTAGCTCAGTACATGTACAGTAAGTGTCTTCGTGCGACCTGTGTGGAATTGTACAGTCGTTTGGGTGCACTGACGGCTCGCTGCGCGAAGTGAGCAGGTACGCGGGAGTTCTAAACGAGAACTTTCGGCCCTAATCATTGGCATTGCAGATTCTTAGTTCTCCTGAAGCACTCCGTGCGGGCATCGCAGAGCTCGCATTGTCAGCTAGTACATAAGCGTCGATTCGAGTGTGCGTTGCCTGCAAACAGTAGTGACAGTGCGCTGGACAGTTACTGCTCAGAATTTCCGCAGACCGCCTCAATTCTCGAGCATATGGGGGTTCGCGTGCCGTCATCCCACAGGCCCGCTTTCACGGTTCCTGGCGACGTCGATCATGAACGCCTCATGCGATGGCCAGTGCATCCGAAGCACTCAGGGGTGCAACGAACACGGAACCCCAGGACATCAACAACAGCAGAACCGAGTGTGTTGCTCCGCCGCCTGTATGTAGCTCGCTCTCACGGCGGTGTGTGTCCTCGCGAGTCGCTTCGTGGTAAGAGGGAGCTCGAGCAGTTCGCCATCTAGATACATATTCAGGACATTGAGGCATCGCGGTGTCGGGGAGGCTCTTGCATGCCAGTGTAGACTACACCTGTCCGTGTTCAGTCGAATACCCCGGCACCCGGATAATGTCTGCGAAGTTCGCGGTGGGGCTGCATCACGGATTCGCATATTTGTGCGGCTGCAGGAAGATCCGTGCGGAAGGTAAACGATGTACGCACTCGTTTGAGTAAAATGTTTGCCCTGAACTCTGAGTCGTCCCATCCGCGGTCTCCTCCCGATCGGAGCTCAGCAGGTTCACATCCGAGTTTGCACTCATCAACCGTACATGTATAATCCACGGACGATGGGATACGGTACGAATACGGAAACATGAGGGCAGAATCAAATTATCGTGCATAGGAGTATCTACATGTGGGCACTAATGCGCCCAAACGGCGCAGACGGCACCCTCGATGTCCTCCCGCGTCGATCACACACGCCCGGGCTGTCGACGTGCGCGGCCGTAGGCCCGACTGAAACACATCGCGGGCCTCTGATTTGGGGTGTCGCGAACCTGGCGCGGGTTCGCACGTCTTGGCAGCCGGATTTCGCGTCGTCCTGGCGCGTGAGGACGGCGGGGATGTCCGTGCACGAAAGAGGGCGGACAACACGCCGAGCACGGCACTGCACGGATTTGGAACGTAGACGGCGGGGGTCCCGTGTGCGCCGAGACCTCCGTGCGCAACAGACGGGCGCAGTGGGAGGACATTGCGATATGGTTGCGCGGCGACAGCGGCGCATCCCGGGGTCGTGCACACGCGGTCTACCTCTTCATTTCGAGGGCGCGTGTGTGCTCTGCACTCGTCCGTGTCCTGCGGTGTGCAGAAAGCTGTCAGCGCGCGGTGTAACGTCCGGGAGTCCCACCTGCCATACGGGAGGTAGTCCACTTCCCGGGAGCCTGTCCCGATCGGGCACGGTGGGTCTCGGTATCGATACGCGATGACGCGCCCCAACGCCGATGTGAGACGCGCCCGAAGGGCACGCACTCCGTCGCTGGCGTCGCGGCGTGACCCTGCAAGAGATGAATAAGTATACGCGAGCATGGCGACGCGCACGGACGCGGAAGCACTCACCCGGGCATGCACTGGTGCGGGCCGTGGCTCTCGCTCTCGCCTGTGGGTGCCAAGGCATCCGTAGCGAGAGTGGTTGGGTGCGAGCGGGCGGGCGGGCGAGGGCGAGGGCGCGGGCGGGGCGGGGCATGTGCGTGCCGAGATGGGGACCTGTACTAAGCGACACCGCTGGCGCATAAATACGTGGCCCCCATCTCGGGGCGAAGACTTCGACTCCCTTCCTCCTTGCGCCCTACCAGCTCCCTCGCCGTGCCTGTCGACCCCGGGTCTCCCTTCGTCCGGGCTGTCGTCGCAGGCGCTCGCCTGGAGGACGACTCGAACTGCGGTGGGCTCGACTGTGGCCCCGTGAGCACGTACTGACATGTTCCAACGGTAGCAGAATCAGCA